ATTTTATCAATATACAATGTGGTTGATTATTGTGGTCCACAACCAAAACCTTCCCCCCCCCCCCCCCAACAACCTCATATCTGTTCACTTGAATCAACTTCAAGGAATTGTAATTGTTGTGTCTTCTTCCCTCCCCCGCTCCCAGCTTATTTGTGTATTTATTTATTTATTTATTTTTAGCTCCCACAAATGAGTGAGAACATGTGATATTTCCCTTTCTGTGAAAAATATGAAACTTTGTTAAACGTCAATTTGAGAAGTGTATTCTCACCAACATATGTTCAAGTTCAAGTCTATCTCCACATGTACTTTCCTCTTCATGTAAGTTTTAGAAAAATGTATTTATTCTTAAAACGTAATTTATATATGAGTACAAAAAATGTTGATTTAAGTTTGAATATTAATATTTTTATATATTACCAATGCATATCGGCAACGTTGTCCACTTTCCATCAACACATTGAATTTTATTGGGCCCCCTCATCAGAGATCTAGGATTGCAGCCATATTCCACCACATCATTATGCTGATACTCTTCTTTATTTGCTTCCATTATTTTCCCATTGGGGAGTTGAGGAGGTGGACCACACGACTGTACTTGATCTACGGTAGAAATACTGTATAAATAATGGTTACCTTGTCCACAATTTTAAAATCCTGTGAAATGAAGAGACTTTTTAATTTTATTTATTATTTATTACATAATTTACTACAGTGTTCTTAAACAATGAAAAAAAGAAATGTGTTTACACTGAATTCATATTTCACAGCTGTATTACTTACACAAAAATAGCTTATTGAGGTATATTTAAGGTATTAAAATATGTATAATAATCTAGATATTGTAAAGATGCATGCAATTCAATTAGCAAAATGTGGTTGGGTAATTTATGTCAATTTTTATATTCCATGAAACATTTTATCATAACTTTTTGAAAAGTATTATCACTGAGGTAAGCATTTGATCAATGTATTTTAACTTTTATTAACTGATATGTGTGATTGTATTAACTATAAGCTGCTTAAGTATTGTTTAGACACACTCAATGAAACTTGAAGTAAAATCCATGGCATATAAAATGTCCATTGTTAATGGTGGCACTGTAGGAAAAACAAGCAGTAACAAAAGTTCCTCCAGTCCCTGACACCATATGTATCTATGCATATTTCCAATACAGATCTCTTTGGCAGCTGGCAGGTATGGGGATCTCAACGCTCAGTGTTGGTATTATTCCAATACATATTTCTATCTCCCAATAAATGTCCTTCACAGGTATATTTCTGACTTAATGCATTAGATTGCAGGCACATTGGAAGCCCACAGAAAATTGAGAAATTTTGAGAAAATAAAAAGTTGATATTCAAAATTCTAATTCTTGTTTCAGCAATTGTAAGATAAATATTCACCTTTACATGTTGGGAGCTGAGGAGACCAGCCAAAGTGGTAGCACTGAATTGAATCTGGTCCAACTCTTTTACGTCTCCAACTGCAGGAAAATTTCAACACATCCCCAACTTTATATGTCTCTCTCTTGGGATTAGGATGTAAGTTGTTTTCTATTTCAGGAATAACGCATTTTCTTTCTAAAAACAAACAGAAAAAAAGGTAAAATAGTTTAATGAGAATAATCATAGTTAATCATTGCCAAAGTAAATTTTATATGTGTGCTATAAAAATGAAGTAGGTACTGGGTGATGCATATACAAAGGGGCATAAGATACATCCTCTTCCTTGAAAAAATGTTGCATATAAGGTTTTACACATCCTCAAATTTCATAAGGGACATTCTGAGCTATATAATGGTACTGAATAGCAATATGTCCATCCTGAAAATTAATGTATAAATTCAACTTGTTTACAATGGATTTGGTTTCATCACTGACATTCATGAAATTATGTTACATTTTTTGTACTCTAAACATAAAATTATTTTCTCATTAAAAAGATAATGCTACAATTTTTAAATTGCACATATACATAAAAATTGGTATTTTTGTTTAATATACTTTGGGAAACAACATACAAAAAAAGCATTCCTAATGCATTTTGAGTTAAAGGAACATTTTTAAAAATCACATGATTATTGATTATGTATATTTATGGGGTACAAAACTTACCTTCACCACCTGAGCCCTGGATGTGATAGTGAGGTCTATAGTATCATGATGGCCATTACCAAAAATTGCTATTGTTGCCCCATCCCCCTCCCAAATAATCCCTGACCTTCCTCCCCCCCACCCACCCCCACTACTGCATGCAATCCTAGGTGTGCCCTCTCCCTCTGCAGGTCCAACACACCACTGTGATCTTTCTTTCCTTCCTTCCTTCTCCCTTAGCTCCCAGTTATGAATGAGGACTTGTGGTATTTTTCCCTCTGTGCCTGGGCTTATTTCATTAACATAATTTTCTCCAAGTTCATCCATGTTGCTGTGAATGGCAGAATTTTGTTCCTTTTTATGGCTAAGTAGTATTCCATGGTGTGTATATACCACATTTTCCTTATCCAGTCATCTGTCAGTGAATATTTAGGCTGGTTCCATATCTTGGCTGTTGTAAATAGGGCTAAGATGAACATGGGAGTACAGGTATCCCTTAGACCTGATGATTTCCATTCCTTTGGGTATATACCTAGACGTGGGATTGCTGGATCATATAGTAGATCTACCTGTAGTTCTTTGAGAAATCTACATACTGTTTTCCATAGTGGTTTTAATAATTTACAGTCCCACCAACAGTGTTGGAGTGCTCCCTTCTCACCACATTCTCACCAGCATTTGTTATTCTGTCGTTTTGATTATAGCCAGTCTAACTGGGGTGAGGTGATATCTCAATGTGGTTTCAATGTGCATTTCCCTGATAATTAGTAGTAATGCTGAAAATTTTTTAAAGTGCCTGTTGGCCATTTGTACATCTTCCCTTGAAAAATGTCTGTTCAGCTCCTTTGCCCATTTTTAAATTGGTTTCTTTATTTTTTACTGTATAGTTGCTGGAGTTCTTTGTATATTCTGGATATTAATCCCTTGCCATATAATAGTTTGTGAATATTTTCTCCCATTCTGTAGGTTGTTTCACTCTGTTGATTATTTCCTTTGCTGTGCAGAAGGGTTTTAGTTTGATATAATCCCTTTTTTTTTTTTCTGTTGTTGCTTGTGCTTTTGGGCTCTTGTTCAAAAAGTCTTTGCCCAGTCCTACTTCCTGAAGTGTTTCCCTTATATTTTCCTTTAGTAGTTTTATAGTTTCAGGTCCTATACTTAAATTTTTAATTCATTTTGAGTTGACTTTGGTATAAGGTAGGACACATAGGTCTAGTTTCAATCTTCTACAGATGCAATTTTCTGAGCATCTTGTTTCAATCTTCCACATATGCACTCAATTTTCCCAGCATCATTTATTGAAAAGGCAGACTTTTCCCCAATGTATGTTTTTGTTGCCTTTGTCAAATACCAGTTGGCTGTAAGTCTGTGAATTGATTTCTGGGTACTCTATTCTGTTCCACTGGTTCAGGTATCTACTTTTTTTTTTTTTTTTTTTAAGTCAACAACTTCTCTTCATTTTTTATTTTTATTTTTTAATTTTATTTTGTTGATATACAATGTGGTTGATTATTGTTGCCCCTTACTAAAACCTCCCTCCCTCCTCCCTTTCCTCCCGCCCACTCAGCAATGTCCTTTCCATTTGCTTGTCAAATCAACTTCAAGTAATTGTAGTTATTATATCTTCTTCCCCCACCCCCCGGGTTTTTTTTTTTTGTGTGTGTGTGTGTGTGTGTGTGTGTGTGCGTGTAAATTTATTTATTAATTGTGTGTGTGAGTGAATTTATTTATTTATTTTTAGCTCCCACCAATAAGTGAGAACATGTGGTGTTTCTCTTTCTGTGTCTGACTCGTTTCACTTAATATAATTCTCTCAAGGTCCATCCATGTTGTTGCAAATGGCAGTATTTCATTCGTTTTTATAGCTGAGTAGTATTTCATTGTGTACATGTACCACATTTTCCGTATCCACTCATCCGATTATGGCCATTTGGGCTGGTTCCAACTCTTGGCTATTATTAAGAGTGCTGCAATGAACATTGGGAAACAGGTACACCTTCGACTTGATGATTTCCATTCCTCTGAGTATATTCCCAGCAGTGGGATAGCTGGGTCATACGGTAGATCTACCCACAATTGTTTGAGGAACCTCCATACCATTTTCCATAGAGGCTGCACCATTTTGCAGTCCCACCAACAATGTATGAGAGTTCCTTTTTCTCCGCAACCTCGCCAGCATTTATTGTTCAGAGTCTTTTGGATTTTAGCCATCCTAACTGGGGTGAGATGGTATCTCAGTGTGGTTTTGATTGGCATTTCCCGGATGCTGAGTTATGTTGAACATTTTTTCATATGTTTGTTGGCCATTTGTATATCTTCCTTAGAGAAAGGCCTACTTAGCTCATTTGCCCATTTTTTACCTATTTCCTGAAGTGTTTCTCCTATGTTTTCTTTAAGAAGTTTTATTGCTTCAGGGTGTATAATTAAATCCTTAATCCATTTTGAGTTGATTTTAGTATATGGTGAGAGGTGTGGGACTAGTTTCATTCTCCTGCATATGGATATCCAGTTATCCCAGCACAATTTGCTGAAGAGGCAGTCCCATCCCCAGTGAATAGGCTTGGTGCCTTTGTCAAAGATCAGGTGGCGGTAAGTGTGTGGGTTGATTTCTGGATTCTCTATTCTATTCCATTGATCAGTGTGTCTGTTTTTATGCCAGTACCATACTGTTTTGGTTATTATAGCTTTGTAGTATAGCTTAAAGTTGGGTAGTGTTATGCCTCCAGCTTTATTTATTTTGCTCAGTATTGCTTTGGCTACGCGTGTTCTTTTGTTATTCCATATAAATGTCTGGATAGTTCTTTCCATTTCTGAGAAAAATGTCTTTGGAATTTTGATGTTGATTGCATT